AGGGTACCTTCAAATATAAGTTACTTTCAATGCCTATTTTAAAGATGCTGTCAGAAAGTAGCATGGTTCCAAAGAATAAATGAGTCGTTTTCTCTAACAAAAGCAAGCGCACGATTAGTTATGATTCGTCGTCATCAAAAAACGTCAGACGGCACCTGCTGCTACTCTGCATAAATCATATGCTTTCTCGTCAATGTCGTCGAAACGCTGACTGTTTCTCTTGTAAGTCTGGAAGGAAATCAATTTCCGCTTGCTCAATAATTCAACAGTTGCTTAAGTTTACCTCAGCGTCATAAAGCCTGAGCCGAAACACGACCGCCTAACGACCTCATGCGAAATTCGAGACGCTCAACCCATGATTCTCAGTGCTTCAGCGTTTTGACATCGATTACTTGGCGCGCTTTGTCTTAGTCATGTTCAAAGCCGTCCAGCGAGAATTGAGTAAGCCATAAAAGAAAAATATGTTGTGAAAAATATTTGCTAACTATTGGCCATTATAAGGAAAAATCAATAATGCTTGGTGCTTGCCTGATTGGCGAAAAATCTGGACAAGCGGAAAAATCTCACGAAGTTGCTTTGTGAGCCCTTTGCCCTTAGGTTCGAAAGCAGTAACAAACTACGAATGGAACGGTTGAAGCGAGGATGATGAAAGAAGGGCAAGCACAAGGTTCACAGAATTTAAATCTACAGTTTCACTGTAGTCTAGCGTTCGCTGATTTCATATTAAGAAGATATTGCCTGTCCATAAGTAGTTTAATATGTAAAACCATTCAGCATCTCTAACTTGGTACTCCTCAGAATGTCAGAGTACTTGAAAACGTTGCACAAGATTGGTCACATTGGAATATCACTATCAGTTCGATATATTGCAATAGCTAAATGATAAAAGAATTAGACAACGAATTTCAGCTGTTCTTCTTCACCTTCTTTTGGTCTTCCTGAAGTTTTGTTTTATGCTCTTTCTCTTTGTTCCTTAATTACTCAAGCAGACAGTCATTCGGTGCAATTTCTGAACTCATTCATATAATTTAATGTACACAGTTCAAAAATAAGTAAGTATCGACTTCCTCCATTTCTCGTTATTCTTTGGCGTAACAGATGGAATGAAAGCAAAACGTATTTTGTTGCATTATGACTCTGCAAACGAATTGATTAAACCGTGATTAAAATTTCTGAATTAAGTTTTCTTGGCGCAATTTTCTTGGCGCCACTGAATCAGAATGACAGCACAAGTACATGAGCCAATTACGGTGCATTTTCTCTTTAATTACGTCGGCAAGCGTGGCGGTCGCTTCATTTGGCGAATAAAACTATCCCTCACAAAATGCATACATCGACATCTGCCGTGGCCATTGCAGATGGTAATGAGCAGAAGTAATGACTAAGGCTTCGAACAGTGACTCCGCCTCACTGTCACTTCAGAAATTGGCATATTTAATTGAAAACTTTATTTTTGCCGTTTCTCATTTGGTGTTAATGGCACTGTGACCATTTCTAAATATGAATTGCACCCTCCGTTGAAGATCTGGTAGCCGAGGTGATTATTTTCGTTTTGTATATCAGTGAAGTGCAAAAGAGACCGCTTATCGGCAACGTTTGAGATCAAATGCTTCCATCAACCGCTTTTCACTTCTGTCCTGGCAACGATCAGTCAGCAATATTATGGAAATTGGTATTTTAAATTTTAAAATCTATTTTTATTTTGATATTGACTGATGCAATACGATACGCTGATTCATTATTGTTTTTAATTGTTTATCATCTTGACGTCAGATTGAGCAATTCAACCCTTTTAACACAATGGGTTCCCTTTCCTTCTACACTTTATAACGTTCGTGATGTTTTTAGTTTTCCTATCTCATGGAAGAATCTCAGTCCGTAGAGCACGGGACTGTGTGGAAAGACTGTGGTCAAAAACGCAGCACTCTCAGCTCATATATTGAACAGATTGTCAAAAGCACTATGATTACCCTCTAATTGGCAAGCGCCATGGCTGGAGATGGCA